GGCGTTATCGGGGCCTCTTGGGCAGTGTGGGCGCTCTGTTGGGGGCCTCTGGAATAGTCTTGGGGTCAGTTTTGGTGCTTCTGGGGCTGACTCGAAGCGTCGGCAAAAAAAAGGCAGAACAACCTGACAACACGTTAGGGGAGCGTCCGGGAGCTTTCAGGAGGCGTGGTGGGCCATCTGAAAGCCGTCGAGGAGCGCCTGGGGGGCGGTGTGGGCAATGTGGGAGACGGCATCAGTGTGTGGGAAAGAATTCTGGGGCATTCGTGGCCTCTGGGGCTGTCTTAGGTGCTCCGTAGGCAGTGATGGCGCCTTCCCGGGGGCCCCTTATTCGGTGCGCTTCTGAAGCGGAGAGCTCACGGAGCCCCTTGTTCCTCCTCTTTCCTGCTGATATCGGTTCATTTCCCTTCTACCTGGCGGGATGAAACAAATAGCCTGGCGATGGACCCAACCATATGCAGTTGTGAGTGTCGCAATTGTGGGCTTCGGGGCCACAAAACGTGGGGAGGTGTGCCGAAACGGAAGGAACGCTGACGTTGGAACTGCGCCGCTGGGTCCTTAGGTGTGAGGGGTGTGGCAAGATGGGCCGGCGCCACCATGCGAACTGCGCCACTGGAACCTTAGGTCTAGCTCACTGTGAGGCCACGAAACGTGTGAGGGATTTGCCGACATGGAGCGGCGCCACCATGCGGACGGCGCCACTGGGACCATGGGTGGAGCTCTCTATGGGGCCACGAAGCGTGTGAGCGGTGTGCCAAAATGAGGCGGCGCCGCCATGCGGACGGTGCCACTGGGACGTTAGGTGGAGCTCCCTATGAGGCCACGAAACATGTGAGGGGTGTGCTGAAATGGGGCGTCGCCACCATGCAGACGGGGCCACTGTGACCTTAGGTGGAGTTGCCTATGGGGCCACGGAACGTGTGAGGGGTTTGCCCACATGGGGCGGCGCCGCCATTTGGACGGCGCCACTGTGACCTTAGGTGGAGCCCTCTATGGGGCCACGAAACGTATGAGTGGTGTGCCCAAGTGGGGCGGCGCCGCACTGTGGATGCCGCCACGGGGACCTCAGGTGGAGCTCTCCATGGTGCCACGGAACGTGTGAGAGGTGTGCCAAAATGGGGCGGCGCCGACATGCGGACGGCGCAACTGGGACCTTCGGAGGGGCCCGCTCCCTATGGCGCCATGAAGCGTGTGAAAAGTGTGCCGAAATGGGGCGGCGCCGCCATGTGCACTGCGCTACCGGGACCCTAGGTGGAGCCCCCTGTATGAGGCCACGAAACGTGTGAGGGGCGTAGGTGGCAACGCCATGCGGACGGCGCCTCTGGAACCTCAGGTGGAGCTCCCTATAGGGCCACGAAGCGTGTGAGAGGTGTGCCGAAATGAAGCGGCGCCGCCATGCGGGCGGTACAAAACGTATGAGGGATTTGCCGAAATGGGGCGGCGCCGCCATGCGGACGGCGCCACTGGGACGTTAGGTGGGGCTCCCTATGGCGCCACGAAACGTGTGAGGGGTGTGCCCAAATGGGGCGGCGCCGCCGTGCGGACGGCGCCACTGGGACCTGAGGTGGAGCCCCCTATGGGGCCACGAAACGTGTGAGGGGTGTGCCGAAATGAGGCGGCGCCGCCATGCGGACGGCGCCACTGGAACCTTAGGTGGAGCTCTCTATGGGGCCACGGAGCGTGTGAGCGGTGTGCCGAAATGGGGCGGCGCCGCCATGCGGACGGCGCCTCTGGGACCTTCGGTGGAGCTCCTGGTGCGGCCACGAAACGTGTGAGGGGTATGCTGACGGCGCCACTGGGACCTGAGGTGGAGCCCCCTTATGGGGCCACGAGCGTGTGAAAGGTGTGCCAAAATGGATGCCGACGATGCTGCTGCTGATGATTATGATGATGATGGTGATGATGGTGATGATGTTGATGTTGATGATAATGAGGATGATGATCATGAGGGTGATGATGATGATGATGATGATGATGATGAGGATGGCAATGATGAGGATGCTGGTGAGGATGAGGATGATCATCATGATGCGGATGATGCTCATGATGGTGATGCTGATGATGATCATCAGCATCATCAGGATGAAGACGATGAGGATGGTGATGCTGATGCGGATGTTGATGGTGATGCGGATGAGGCTGCTGTTGATGATGATGGCCATGAGCAACGACGATGCGGATGATGACGATGACGATGACGAGGATGGTCATGATGATGCTGAGGATGATCATGATGGTGATGATACAGATGATGGTGCTGATGATGGTGATGACAATGACGATACCGAGGATGTCGACTATGATGATGATGATGATGATGATGATGATGATGATGATGATGATGATATGATGATGATGATGATGCTCATGATGATGATGATGATGATGATGATGATGATGATAGTGGTGATGATAATGATGGTGGTGATGATGATAATAATGCTGGTAAGTGTGATGGTGATGATGATGATGCTGATGATGATGATAATGATGATGATACGGATGATGAAGATGATGATGAAATTTATGATGCTGATGAACATGATGCTGCTGATGAAGAATATGATGTTGATGATGATGATGACGACGGTGACGGTGACGGTGATGATGCTGATGCTGATGATGATGATGCTGATGATGATGCTGATGATGATGATGGAGGGAGGAGGGGAAGGAATGGGATGAGGAAGGAGAACAGAGGAGTGAGGAGTGAGGATGAATGGGACGTTGGGCTGTCTCTTCAAAACGAAGCCCTTGCACCACAAGATCGTTGGGAAATATACGAAGTGAGATGAGGGTGGAGGCAGAGATAGAGACACATAACAAGAAAACGTGGAGGAAGGAAGCTCCGTGAGCTTTCCGTTTCAGACACAGTGTGGTTCCCTGTCTAACTTTTAGTGTGAGATTAGCTACGCCCCCATGGCCCCTGGGGGGGCGTCGAGAGGCTCGACGCGAATCGGCGACGCATCGCCAATGGATCCGACTCCTCTACCAACTTCGCCTCCTCCTTCTCCTCCTCCTCGTCCTTCCCCTCGTCCTCCCCCACTCCTCTAAGCTCTTGTGTTTGCTGGGGTGTCTCGGAGCGTCGGCAAGGCGAAATGGCGGAAGCATGAGGAACCATCAAAACACCCATGAACAATCAGAGATTTGTGTCTCATGGGGCCCTCCTCGGAGGCGCTGTGGAGCCTTTTTAAAGCGTTTTGGGCTGTCTGAAGCTTTCATAGAGCGCCTTGGAATCTGTGTGGGCCACCTCGAGGGCGTAATGAGTCTGGTGGCCTTTGTGGGCTGTCCTGGGGATCTCTTGGTGCGTCTGTCGGCTGTGTGGCCTCTTGGGCAGTGTGGGCGCCCTGGGGGAGGGGGAGGAGCCTCTTAAACTGTGCGGGGCGAACTTCGGTAGTTCTGGGGCTGCCGTGGGGCATCGGCAAGCCGAAAAGGTGGACGACCCCCAAAACATGAAACTCACATGCCTAACTGATGAGTTTTGACTCTTGGGGCTCCCTTGGGAGGCGCCTGAGAACCCTCGGAGCGTCCTCAGGGCTCTTTGTGCAGTCTTGCAACCTTCGTGGAGCGCCTTGGGAGCGTGGTAGTTCTTCTGCAGGCAATCACTAGGTCGGGGAATGAATTTCCAATGACTCCGGGGAGAGAGGGGGCTATCCGGACGGGTCTCGGGCACCTCTGGGGCCTCCGGTTCTGCCATGCGCTGTCGAGCCCCCAGCAGCCAGGCCTCGCAGACGGGGATCGACTATATTTTTATTTATATATATATATATATATATATAAAAAACTGGATAATGGTATGAACAGACCGTCGATTCATTGTGGCGGACTTCGGTCCTGCCACCCCCGCCAGAGCTTGCAGACACGACGCTCGACCTCTCGCTGCCGCACCACAGACTACTCCTACGAGTTGCAGCGTGACAAAGGATGAAGAAAATCCACCCTGAGGCGTACCGCGAACGCTTCCCCCAACCTCCCGACCCTCCAGCAGGGACATTCGGGGTTGGAGTACGCATCGGAGACAATTTTGTCTACGCAGGGTGACGAAGCCTGTGCATTTCCACTGTCGCATGAATGCCTGGTTGGCTCGAACCTCCTCCCTCACCGTCTTTCGGGCTCCCTCCCCCCCTTCCCCCTCCTCTCCCTCCTCTCTTCTCCTTTTTCCTCCCCCTGGGGGAGAAGATGTTCCAAAGATGACAGTCCAATCATTCAAGCCAGGCTCCTCAGCCGTGTGTTGCGGTATTGCGAGTGCTATAACATTCATCCTGGCCTATGACGACCGGCTTTAGGAGGCACGCCTCCCGGCTGCTTGCGTAGAGAACTCGGTCCGGAGTTCCAGTCGGACGCAGTTCGCGGCAGCCGAGCCACGAACAATATATATATATACACATATATGTGTGTAGGTGCACATCGGAGATACATGTGTCTAGCCACCCCGCTTGTGGGGACTGAGATTGGGCATGCCAGGCACGGTGGAGGTGCGTAGGTGCCTTCTGCGGACGCAACGCGTGTTGACCCGCGGACGTAATGCGTGTTGTCCCAGCCAGTGACAGCAGATGAAAGGGGATCTGGAGGGCGGCAGAACAGAGAGCGCGTGCAGGAACAGAAGAAGACACATCGACGTAAACATAAGCTCACGCGGATCTCTTTGATCGGCTATGGACCCCCCACCGTGGAGAGCAAAGCGCGCCAGGGGCGGCGCCTGAGGCGCCGCCAGTGGGGGGTGGAGCCTGCGAAAGTTTACTTAGAGAGACAAGCCCTTTAGCAATACACCCTTCAGGGAAAACGACCTGGGACCAGACACGGCGGGGGCATGCCCGCACAACTTGTGGCCACAACGCCCTCTCAAGAACCGAAACATGCAACTCGCTAATCCACTTGACAGGGTGGGGACTCGATCAACCTCCGACTACTTCTGATAATGTAGATTCTTCTTCGGTGGAGGGGGGCGGGAGGCTCGACCTCGGCCGCGTCGGGGCGCACCGCGGGGGGAAAACCCGGTCGGCTCAAGCCGAGAGCGTGAGCAGGAACTCGCCCCCCGGCGCCCCCCTGTAGTTCGCGAACCCGATGATATTGCCCTGGGTCTTCTCGGAGAAATCGCCGTCGAGCTGCAACTTGCTGTCGAAGATCCGGATACGCCTGCCAGTGTAGAACGAGGGGAAGGTGACGTCTAGATAGGTGGGGTCCTCGCTAACGAATTTCACGAAGTCGTCGATCGACATGCCCTTGGATGGGTCCGTGCACCCAGCCTTATATTCTTCTTCCGATGGGTAGCCTTCCACTGACGCCACCTGGAGGAACCAGAGCTGCATTCCTGGCAGGTCGAGGTACTCAACGTCCTCCTTCGTCGGCATGGGAGCATTGTTGATCGCATAGTCGCGCCAAGCAAAGTTAAACTTGGAGAACACGTAGGCTGCGATGTCTTTCTTGCGCTGCTCCTGGTCCTGCTCATCAGCGATTGAATGGTCCTGCACCACCTCGACAACTTCATCTGCGAAATTTCCCTTGGAGGACGACCACGTCGCAACCCCCGCGGCGTCAATCGTCACTTTGAGGTCTATTCTCCCGAAGTCGGGGTGCTCCGCGTAGCCTCCATATTTGTCCCCTGGCGCCATGTGTTCAACGTCCCACTTCTTCGGCTTCTTGGGCTTGATGCCCAGTTTTGCCAAGTAAGCAGCCCTCTTCGCCTCTCCCTTCTCTGATGTCTCGGCGACGCCAGCTCGCACAGAGCGGAGCAGCCCCTTCTCCACCAAGCCTAAGCTCTTCAGCAACGCCTTCTGCACCGTCGGGTCGCGCCCAAGGATGGGTCCGTACTCGTGAGGCGAGGAAGGCGAGGCACGTAATCGTATGACGTCAGCGCGGCCGTGGGTGCTGCAGGGGAACGCCAAGCGTACACACAGTTGCGGCAGGTTCGTGTCGTGACGACTTGTGCGTAGGTTGGCTCTGATGCCGCGTGGGTCGTTCAACCTTGAAGGATTGCGGCGCTCCACACGGCGCAGATCACTCGATGTCGGCCGATTCTGGGCCACTGACGGCGTTCAACCTTGGAAGGCCCGCGCTGTGGCCGCCGTCGTGTCGACACAACACGAACCTACCTCGCACGCACGCACCCCAGCCAGGCCCCTCCTAGGCCCAAGGTCGGTGCATTCACGCGCCGCCTCCAAGCTTGCCGCGAGGGCGTGCCCGCTCCAATCCCGGGGCCAGAGAAGCGGGCTGGTCAGGGCGCCAGCCGCAGGTGCTATGGTTGGCGTCCCCCGATGCCGGGCACGCCAGCAAAGGCGCCTTCCCATCCCAGTAGCCTAGGAAACACCACCAGCCCCACTATGCCCAGCAGCGCCGCCTGCCTCGTGGGGCGCGCAGCCGCGCGGGGGGCGCCGGTGATGGCAGCGCATGCGGCCTTCCCCCGCATCGCAGGCGCCCGAGGTTCGCCGGGCAGCCGCGTCTGCTCTGTGTGGGAGTTTGGCGTCTGCCGGCGCATTCACCCCAGGGCCAATCCTGCTGCGGAGGAGGGCGACGAGCAGGGGAAACACAGGCAAACCTGGCGAGGATCAAGCCTCGAAACCGTCGAGGGCCTCGAGAACATCGAGGGCCTCCATCTTCGAAGACCTCGAGACTCTCGAGGACCCGCGACACCTCGAGGCCCCTCAAGGGGAGGGCGGGGATCTGGCCGAAAATGCCCACCCGGTCGACTGCCGCCCGACGCGCCACCCCCTTCCCTCGAAGACGACGACGGCGACGACGACGGAGACGACAGCGACGACGACAAATTCTGCGGCGGCGGCAACGGCGACGACGGCGGCGGCGACGGCGACGACGGCAGCAGAGACTGCAACGACGACGGCGACAACGACAAAGATGACGGCGACGGCGACGACGGCGACGGCGATGGCGTCGACGACGGCGACGACGACGCCGGCGACGACGACGGCGACGACGACGACGGCGGCAACGACGACGACGGCGACGGGCGGCGGCGACCCCGAAGTCTCCGCAAGCGGCCGTGGGCCTTCAGCACCGCCGCCTGCGGCCCTGGCAGCAGGCCAGAGTCCTGGCGGAGGGGCGGGGGCCTCAAACGGGTCCCCCTCGCTGAGGGGGGGTCCTTCCGAGGGAGCTCGCCTCCGCTGAAGGAAAGGCCGTCGAGGAGGGAGGAGGAGAAGGCGGAGGAGGAAGAGGAGGAGGAAGAGGAGGAGGACAATGTGTTCGCTTTACTGCGCAGCGTGCTCACTCATATTTTCAATCTCGCCTTCGTGAAATTTTCCTATTCTGGGTCATTAGCGGTCGCGCCCTCAATTCAGTGCGGATGAGCTGGGGGAGGGAATCCGACTCCCCATCCTTTTCCTCCTCCTCCTCCTCCTCCTCCTCCTCCTCCTCATCATCATCCTTCTCCTCCTCCTCCTCCTCCTCCTCCTGCTTGTTCTTGTCCATCCTTTTCTTCTCGTCCTCCTCCTCCTACTTCATGTGTTCTCTCCTCCTCCTCCTCCTCCTCCTCTTCCTCCTCCTCCTACT